TCTCCCGCTGGAGGCCCCCAGAGCAGAGGAATCACAGGTTCCCGAGTCACAGACCTGAGTTCTAATCCAGACCCTGTGACTCGCTTCCCGGGCAGGCAAGGTGAGTCACCTCGCTGAACCCCAGTTGCACAACTCCCTGGCTCTGTTGAGGTCCCCTTGATTGCAAGACTCAGAAATCCAACCAGGATGGCCTAAGCCCAAAGACAGGGTAAGGTGAGGACTGACAGATTTAGCAATAAAAATATATGATGCCCAGTGAAGTTGTAATTTCTGATAAACAACTAATAATTTTTTAGTATAACTATGGCCCAATATTACATGAGACTTCCTTAAAAAAAATCATTATCAGAAATTTCAATTTAATTAGGGAGTCTGTTTTTCCTGGCGACTCTGGGCAGGGTGGATACTTACTAACTCATAAAACCAGCTGAATCCCGGAGCTCAGGTGACAGCTGTCCTGCCCTCCCGCCCTGGGCTGTGCTTTCTGCAGCCTAAGGGAGACTCACGCCGGTGAGGGCCAACACAGCCCTCAGCACTCCCTGCTGCTGGTGGCTACTGCCGGTTATGGGGTTATGGTTACGGTTAAGGGAGGCCGCCCCTCCTCCTCTCCCTCCCTCTCTCCATTCCCTCTGTGCCCAGGCTGTTTTGTTCTCGCTGCTTGCTGCTTGCTCCTCTGGGCCCGCTGAACTTTGGTGCCCGTCAGGACCCCGGTCTCTGGCTCCATGTCCCCGTCCTGTCTCAGCTCCTCATGAGCTGACCTGGGCGTGCAGAGGGTCCCCTCACCTGAGTCACCCTGCTCTGGACTTCCGTCTCCAGTCTGTGGGGGTAGGGGGCTGGACCAGAGCAAAGACGACTGTTCAGAGCTTCTCTTTCCCCCAAGCCCTCCTGGGCAGAGCAGAGCAGAGCAGTGCAGCTGGTTACCCTGACCGAGACAGAGAACGGGGCAAGGCCCTGGCATAGGAAGCTGGAAGGTGGGCGACTTTGGTAAAAGCAAGTGGTTCCTGGGACAGGACAAGAGGCCCGGCAGACATCAGCCCTGATGGGCTCCTGCCTCTGCTAGGAGCCTACAACACCTCACTGAAAACGGGCCGCCGGCTGTGGGTAACCTTCCTGCCCGGCCCCATGGCCATCACACGCAAAGTCTTACATTGCAGGACGCCCCAGCAGTTGGCAGCTGGTCCCAAGGCACTGTGCTGCGGTTCCCATGTCTGGCTACATTAGCTCAGTAGTGCCCATCAGCTGGCCGTGGCTGGGCACACTGTGTTCAGAGTACCCGTTTGTTGAGTACCTACTGTGTGCCCTGCACTGTGCGGGACACAGGCGGCCGAGCCTTGCGGTGCACTGTTCTGTTAGGGCAGAGGCTCACTGCCCTGGAGTGCTTTGGGAATAGAACCAGGAGACAGGTGACCTTCGCCTGGGGAAGACGCAGGGCAAACTTGCTGAGGATGTGGCCCTGAGGCTGGGATGGGCAAGGTGTGTCTGATCTGAGCTGAGAGGAAATGAAGTCTCAGGCTTTCTCCATGGCACAGACCATGAGGCAAAGGAACAAGAAGGTTTTAGTCCTGCCGACTCCGTCCCTGCCTCTTCCTGTCTGTCTCCATCCCACCGCTCCCAAGCCTCAGTCCTCCTGCCAGCCCCTCCCAGCGCCTGCCGCGTTCACGTCCAATCTGTGCTCTTGTGTATTTCGCACTCGTGTGTGTGTGTGTGTGTGTGTGTGTGAAACTTGTGAGAAGAAGAACCTCTCTCTCCAACGGTAATTGGAAAATAGGTTGCACGTGCTATAAATAGACTGCCACCATAAAAATCAGAACACGGAGAGCAAAGACTGCTGCTGAAACCCAGCCAGTCCTGCCGCCCCGAGAGCTGCTGAGTCTGCAGCCTGCCCGCTCTCCCTCGCGGGGTTCCGAGGGTCAGAGAGGCATTAGGGACGCCCCGGCAGCAGCCGAAGTCTTTCTCCTTCACATAACCAGAACGACAGGACCGAGAGAAAAGAAATGCTTTTAGTGCGTTACCTGTGCCCCCTCCCCCAGGAAACCCTCCTCACTTTGGGAAACCGAGTCCCAGCCAAAACCCGCGGCCGAGTCACAACTGCACGTATGCCTGCACGGTTCCCTGCACGCTGCTGGCTTACGCTGGGCTCTTCGGGGACCCGAAGCTCCACGGCTGGATCTGGGGGCCGCCGTGGAGGGTGGGGGGCCCTCTGCACAATAGCATAACAGCCACCAGCACAGCAGCCACCAGCACAGCAGCTGAATTATTTATTGTTACCATAAGCCGGCACCGAACTAAGCATTTATCTACATTCAAGTATCTCATCCTCACAAAGATGGTGAGAATAGCGCCCTTGTTAGTTCCATTTTAGAGAAGAGAAGGTGGGGTGCAGGGTGGTTAAACACCAGCCTGAGAGCAGTTCTTAAAAAAAAGAATTATTTATTTATTATCATCATTTTTCAATTCTGACCAGAGAGAGACAGAGAGACAGAGAGAGAGAGAGCAAGCCACCAGGTCTGCAGGTCTCGAACTGCAGTCGACCATGTGGGAGTCCAGCACTTTCAACCACCTGCCACCTGCTGGCCCTGCCTGAGAGCAGTCCTGTTCTTTGTACCTACAGGATTCCCACGCAAGATCGCGTGTATTTATTCTTTCTTTCCTTCAAATATTCTTCTGACAAGGATGCACTGGGTACCCTCTGTTTCCTTCAGTTCCATTCTAAGCAATACTTATTCCACTTTAAAATGGAACTTGAAATCACTGTTTCTTGCTTCTCCCAGATTTCCACACGCTCTGACTTACATCCCTCCACTCCCAGCATCCTCAGGTGGCTGTGGGTTTGCCAGGTCCCTTCATCGGGACTTAGGCACCCACCTGCTGGCTTTCAGGAGTGTTGGCTGTGCGTGGGATTCACACCACGATGAAGATGAATTCGTGGCCTTGGGTTCTGGCTTCTCCCCAGTGGGCAGTGGGCAACCAGGAAATGACCATCACGGAGGAAAAATGGAGACCCCTTGCTCTGATTCAAGACAGTTCTGCAGGGCTTCCCCAGCTCCTAAACACCCCAGAGGATGGCTAAGAGGCCTCTGTCCAGCTGGGACACAGCTCAGCATCTCCCTCTGCTCGGCCCTGCCCTCACTCCCCACAGGTGAGCTTCCCAAGCCCACTCCCCTGCATAGCCAATGGCTCGAGTCCACGTCCTGCAGACTCAGGCCAAGACACCTGCAGAGGTGGCAGCCACCATCCAAGCCTCAGCCAGCCTGGTGTCCTCAGCAGCCCCTTCCAAGGAGAGACCTAAGCAAATGGAGCCTGGGTGCATTCGTCCTTCACAAAGAGCTTTGGTGACACCAAAGCCCCAGGGTCACCTCAACCTCCGCAAGTCCTGAGAGCCCCGCAGGTGGTCAGGTTTCTGTTTGGATGTTTTCCTACATTAGCTAATTAGCTCGGTTCCCAGGCCCCATTACTGTTTCCTCAAGTGGATCGTGGCCTCGGCTCCAATGACAGCAGCCACTCAGCCGGCCGAGAAGATGTTCGCTTTCGGGCCCGCAGGGAACAGTCAGGAAAGGAGAGAGGAAGGAGAGGGGAGATTCGATTACGGGGTGTCAGGGAAGGGTCACTGCTCCCGCACCTCTTTCTGCCTGTGAGCAAAGAGAGCGAAATCAGCATTTCCCCTTGCACAGCAGCATCTCTGTGGAGTCAGGCAGAGGAAGGCCAGAGCGGTAAGCCGCCCACCTCTGCTCGCTCCTGAAATGGCCCGCGTTTAAAAATAGCCTCTGTCTGCCCCAAACTTGACTCCTCACCATTTCTTAAATTTAATTGCAAATTAGTGTCTCAGCAATGCTGTAGGCTTCCCAATCTGGCCTAAACCCAGAGGTAAAGGCAGGAGACAAATGGAAGGAGAACCTGCAGTCTGCGGAAGCATTTGGGGTGTGGATGCAAGGGCTCACGGGTAACCCTGCCTAATGTAAACCAGGAGGCAGAATCCAGGTCGCCAAGGCCAGCCCCAGCTGAGAGCCGTGGGAGGAGAGGACCAGGCAACCAGAAATCGTCCTACGAAGAGCAGAGAACCGTGACTCTGAAACTAGGCAGCCCGGCTTATCATGACCCCCGCAGGCCTAGACGCCACACCTGGTTAGTGAGCACCCGCCCTGTGCCAGGCCTTTGGATTTCAGTCTCAAGGCTCCTTTATACTCCTAAAAATTAGTGGAGACTCCAAAGAGCTTTTGCTTCTATTTATCACATAAGAAACTAAAACTGAAGAATTACACAAACGTGTATTTATTCATTTAAAAATAACAATAACAATCTCTTTGCATGTTAACATGTAGGATATTTTATGAAAATAAACTATACTTTGCAGCATGAAGACATTTAATGAGAAGCATGACATTGTTTTACATATTTGCGAATCTCATTAACGCTGGACTTGATTGAAGACAACTGGGTTCTCATAGATGCTTTTATGTTCCGTCTGGTGCAATACCTTGTTTTGGTTAACACGGATAAAGGAAACCTTGCCCCTCACGGATATGTCGTTGGAAAAGGGAGGAGTCCTGAATAGCCTTTGCAGACAGTTAGGGAGAGTCTCCTTTGGTACTATACCAAAACTCGACAAGTGGTTAAAGGTTATTGCAATGGATTGTGAAGTCTGAAGCTATGTTACTCTGTCACATTAAAACCCCTGGTCTGTCTTGCACTTTGAGTGGACCTTTTACCCACTGTGATTGGATAACGTCATGCACTGCTCACTTGGCAACTACCACTTCACAGACTCAGCACATCTTCCAAATATGGCACATTGCATTACACGGTATCAAAAATCACTTGCCCCAGTGTCACACTCCCCCCCCCCCCCC